GATTGGTTGCCACCCATTTTGCAGGGAACCCCATTTGTGTCTAACCAAAGGGTCACCTCTCGCAGGTCTTTGCGGTTGGAGACTGCGCGGTGAGTGGCAAGCCGCCAACGGCCCAAGTTGCGTATCAGCAAGGCTAGGGCAGCGCATTCCGCCATAGGCGGTTGCAGTCGACTGGCGCACAACCAATGCGAACTGCTGGTCATGCAACCTTCAGAAACAAGCTGAAATCAGCTTGCGTGGGACTGTCGGCATTGAGCTCTCAATGCCCATGTGTTCTGAAGTGCACCAAACTTGCCTCATTGACGTTTGTGTGCTGTGTGTGCGCGTGTGTGTGTGTGTGCGCGCGTGCGCGTGTGCGTGCGTGCGTGCGTGCGTGCGTGCGTGTCTGCGTGTCTGCGTGTTTGCGTGTCTGCGTGTCTGCGTGTCTGCGTGTCTGCGTGCCTGCGTGTCTGCGTGTCTCTGTGTCTGCGTGTCTGTGTGTCTGTGTGTGTGTCTGTGTGTGTGTCTGTGTGTGTGTGTGTGTTTGTCTGTGTGTCTGTCTGTCCGCGTGTCTGTGTGTCTGTGTGTGTGTGTCTGTCTGTGTGTCTGTCTGTGTGTCTGTGTGTGTGTGTCTGTCTGTGTGTCTGTCTGTGTGTCTGTCTGTGTGTCTGTCTGTGTGTCTGTGTGTGTGTGTGTGTGTCTGTCTGTGTGTCTGTGTCTGTGTGTCTGTGTCTGTGTGTCTGTGTCTGTGTGTGTGTGTCTGTGTCTGTGTGTGTGTGTCTGTGTCTGTGTGTGTGTGTGTCTGTGCGTGTCTCTGTGTGTGTGTTTTTGTGTGTCTCTGTGTGTGTGTTTCTGTTTGTGTCTCTGTGTGTGTCTTTGTGTGTGTGTCTCTGTGTGTGTGCGTGTCTCTGTGTGTGTCTCTGTGTGTGTCTCTGTGTGTGTCTCTGTGTGTGTGTCTCTGTTTGTGTGTCTCTGTGTGTGTCTCTGTGTGTGTGTCTCTGTGTGTGTGTCTCTGTGTGTGTGTGTGTCTGTGTGTGTGTGTCTCTGTGTGTCTCTGTGTGTCTCTGTGTGTGTCTATGTGTGTGTGTGTGTGTGTGTCTGTGTGTGCTTGTGTCTGCGTGTGTGTGTGTGTGTGTGCGTGTTTGTGTGTGTCTGTCTGTCTGTCTGTCTGTCTGTCTGTCTGTCTGTCGGTGTGTCTGTGTGTCTGTGTGTCTGTTTGTCTGTCTGTCTGTCTGTCTGTCTGTCTGTTTGTCTGTCTGTCTGTTTGTCTGTCTGTCTGTCTGTTTGTTTGTTCTGTTTGTTTGTTTGTTTGTCTGTCTGTTTGTCTGTCTGTCTGTCTGTCTGTCTGTCTGTCTGTCTGTGTGTCTGTGTGTCTGTGTGTCTGTGTGTGTGTTTTTGTTTTGGAGGGAGGAAGGGAGGGCGAGACAGACAGACCGCCATCGAGTACGCGGAATGACTCGTGAGGCAAATACTTGGGCCGGATGTTCCGCTTGGGCAAGGACTACCTGATCAGCGACCCGCAAGCACCGCCCTTCAAATATTGTGGGCTGCTCAGTCTCCTGGTCGCTTGGACAAACGGAGAGTCTCCGTTTCTGAGGCCACCAAGGCACAATGGCCTACATCGGCGATTCTCAAGGAGCAGCGGAGATCGACCCCAACGCCTTCATCAAGCTGCGCTCTCAGAGATGCGGTTCGCGAGAGCGAAAATTCCAGCAGAGTGGGCTAAGTGGGAGCGCCAGACATTTGGGCGTGGGTCAAAGCCAATGGTACCATTTTGGTTAGTGGGGATTGGGATGTTCACTGGGTACGAAACTTGGATTTTGACCCATGGCCATCTGAGGCTGGGCCGCTCCTCAGTGACAGACCATTTCTGGTGGCGCTCCCTGTATGGCGAGCAGGACAGTCACTGCACGAGAGGCCCATTTGTCGCCTCGAGCTCTCAGGATCAGCTCAGGGTCATGGGCCCAGCAGGCTTCGCGATTTGGAGATCCACGTATTTTAGCGGCCCAGCACAACTAGTGCCGCAATGTCACATTATGTGCTGACAACTCATGGTTTGTGGGGGTGTCTTTTCTTGGAGCCCTCCGCGGAGTTGCTTTTGGCTCCAACTTAACCCCCCCCCCGGCCAACCACCAAAAAACAAACAGGTGCTCTCGAAAAAAAGGCAGATCCGTGCATGACCCCAAGGCAAGCTCTTCTCCAGCAGAAACCGATGGTCCGTCATGAGCGATTGGCTGCGCACTGGTGACTTGGAAATGAAGAACTCGGACACGAGATGACGAAATAGTTATGGGCAGAAATTCAAGCACCTGCAAAAATAGCGTAGTCCATGTTTACTATGAACCAGGGTTCGATTTTGGATACCTGTTGTTGACCCACAGACAAATTGTTCTTCGGGAAGGGCACCGGTTTTGATGGCGTGGCAGATTCGCAGTGAGGTATGTTTGGGCGGCCCGCATCATCATCTGCACAGGGCACTGCTACCCTCTGAGCACGCTATGAAAATTGACCGGAACCCTTTGTGTTGGCCATTGGCAGTGTGACTCATCCCGAATCGCAACGTATTTCCTTTTGGTGCGTATGCAATAGGACTCGGTGTTTGCCACAGTCTCACCGCGGGTCAAAGAGACCCTGCACATTTTTCTTGCGGCACGAGTCCAAAGGAACTCCACCCGACCGGGTAGGCCCACGCAAGATGCAACTGGTGTGTTTGACTGCGTGACACGGGGCCAACTTTTCCACAACATAGGCAGCCTCCGCAATGCGGAAACCTGTGCCAGCTGAGTAGGCAGGAAGCCGCTTGAGCATGAACCAGATACTCGTCAATGGAGTCACTTTAGCTCATCCGGTCTCTGTGGTCCGCACAGCTGAAACTCCTTCAACACGGCAGTTAGTGCTTGTCTGATTGGGACGGAGAGGGACCAAAAAATGCCGCGGGATCGTGGTGCACGACATGCCCAGTCCAAATGGTTCAACAGTCCCATGCGTGTCTTAGCCCCTAGTCCTCGACGGCCCTGGGCACCAATAGTGGCTTACAGTCACGACTAGTTTGCTTGAGAATCCCATTGCGGCTAATAATACTGTGGATGGACAAAATCCTGCACCTCTTCGAAATGATGAGAACCCATTGTTTGTTGGTATTTACAGGGGAATCATCATTCCAGGGATTCTGAGGTGGTGCAGGATTTCGTGCATCCACAGTATGATATGCCATATGCTGAGCCGTAGGGGGTCATGCAAACAATTGAGACAATGCGTTCGACGCCCCCACCTCCAACTGGAAATGCCCTCCTGTTTCTGGTTTCTATGGTATGTTCCATTCTCCCCACCTCTGATATCATGGAAGTTGTATGACAAAGGCCCTTTCCATGGATGTGGTGCTCCTTTTGCGTGTTGCTGTACCCGGCTACGCACTACCTTGGCTTGATGCCCGAGGTGTACGCACCTTATGGTCGCTACCAGGGCTTGGTCACCCGGACAGAGAGACCACATGCTGCCTCATCGTGACTAGCCACGCCATCCATGTTCCTGCCACAGGCGAGGAGTCAGGCTGGGGCCGCACAAAGAACATGAGCTGATTCTGACTCGTGCCTCCCAGGTTTGCTGCGTCTCCTGTCGTCCTGCAAGGTGAACGCCAAAGTCGCCCGCGCCTCAACTTGCGGCTTCAAGTTGCTTCAAGTCTCGGATGCGGAGGCTTGGGTGCTGCAGGAAAGTGCCGGCCTCGCTGGTCCCCGTGAGCCACAATCAATCGGGTATATGAAGATTAGTAAGGGATAGTCCCAACCATAGCTGCGGCCTCCTTCTTAGTTCTTTACATGGTTCTGGGTAGACCATTTTACTACCGGGTTTTGATTATGACTCCCGTTGCGTCCGTTAAAAACCGGGGAAGTCAGGCCCGACGCTCGTCGCGGCAGTGCTCTGCTGGTGCTGGGGCAGCGAGGCCTGCACCAGCAGCCGCGCGCAAAGCCGGCGAGTCGGGCACTGGAATGGTTTGGTTCGTTTGATTCCCCCAAGTACCAACAAAGAATGGTTTGCTCATGGTTTCTTAGGTGCAAAAAAAATCGTCTATGCGGAGTACGTTGATGTGGGAGCCCGGCGCAGTTCATGCTGCGGCACGCCGAGGTTTGGGCAATGTGGCGGTGCTGATGTGCTTTGTCATACATTATGCCACTGCCTCAAGTTGTTTCCTTTTGTCTCAACAAGAGAATCTAGGATCGGGAGAGCCTGAATTGGAGTGACATGTTGTGAAGCGCAAAAGGCACGTCTTATCAAGCCAAGAAGAGAAGCCTAGCAATAGCGGAAGAGTACAAGGAGATCCTTCAAACAAATGTAAGAGATCGTGGATTCATTCGTGGTGTGCGGACCTAGGTGAATCGTTCCTTTATTTACCCCTTGCGAATGTGCCTCGGCATTGCGGTCCATCTGCCAGAAGATATTGTTCCATCATTCCAAGGAAGGGCTCAAAACCCTTTCCCTTGCCAGTGATGCTGATGGCTGCTACGCCCGAGTCTCATCCGTTGGTTTGTTTGGCGGCCATGTTAGCTGTCAGCTTGCGAGATTTTGCGCGGCCAACGGCTACGTCCAGTGCCGTAGCCTGACAAGGCCAAAAGTGCAGAGAGAGAGAGAGAGAGAGAGAAAGAAAAACAAAAGAGAAAGAGAGAGAGAGAGAGAAAACACCGCGACCACAGATACCTGATGATTCCCATGAGCTGGACGTGAAGGGCCTAGTTGTGAGAACTTGCGATGATGTCAACCCCCTGGTTTATTTTGAAAGATGGGGTTGTCCCATTTGAAATTTCAGAGATTCATCACTGTTGCATGAGAACAACCCCCTAGAACCGGTTGATTCGTCCTTGTCAACAATCACAGCACTTAAGGACCTGTGCTGGGCTTGCCACCTGGGCGGCCGGCTTGTGCGCCTGTCAAAAAGTCATCACGAGCAGCCGACACGCAACCTCGCAGGTACATCAATGTAGATGCAGATCATCGATTGAGAAATTTAAGGCAGCTGCGGCTTGGAATTCTCGTGCTCTTTCGCCCATCTCGGCGCTAGGGCACCAGGAGAGACCGGGTGCGCCTCCAGCGCGAGCGAAGAAGTGCTCGAAGCTGGCGCATGGTCCAAATCGCGCAGTCATTCAGGTACAAGATACCTCGCGGCGGATTGTTTGATTATGTCTCAGGCAGGGGATCCCAATATGGCTGTGGGTCAAAAATAGGTACCCAAAATGAAACCCTAATAAATGAAACCAAGGACTAAAACCTGCGGTCCCCTGGTGGTTTCATTTTGACCCACACCCATATATCCAAATTATGGAGTCAACACTACAGAGGTGCGAACTTCTTCGGCGAGATTGTGGAGTGGGTTGGCTTCGCAATCGTTTGCGTCCCAGATTTCGACGAGGTCCCAGAGCATGAATCTGCAATCGTGAATTTGGGTGGTTCTAAGGGTTTTTGTATTACACCCTGGGAATACACCCACTGGGTATTGACCCCATTTAGGCACATTTCCGGATAAGCCCGTGTTATTTTGAAGCATTCTAGGTCATTTCGCAAGGGTGTAATCCCAGGGTGTAATACAAAAACCCTCAGAGTGGGCTAGCTGGTGTTGCAGGCTATGGGTGGCGCCCTGCCCGGCGTCACCTTTGCCTTTTGCACAGCTCCTTGACCGCGGGTTGCTGTTGCCGGGTTGGGCCAGTTGAATGGGTTGCACTGAGGCTTGCAACATCGGGCCTCGGGTTTCTTGCCGCACATCAGATCATGCGTTGGGCGACTCGTGCGCTTCGAGTTTCACACAGGCTGTGACCCATCACCACTGGTACGTGGAGAAGTTCAAGGATGAGTACCCAAAGGCACGGCCTTCTTCATGTAGTGTACTGGATATGTACCTCCCACTTGACCGCATGAGCAACATATGAAAAGCAACATAGCATGGCAACGCGGATGAAACGGAAGGGAAAGGTTGGAGATGATTCAATCAGGAATGTTTAGGGCACCCGACAGGACCGCAGGGCATTGGTGCCATTCCTGCTCTGACGCTCCGCTGCGTGTTTGCCCCAAGCATGTGGCCGAACATCGCAAAAGGGATGAGCAAGTTTTGGCCGGTTTTGGCCGTTCGGGCCAAGTGATCGCAGATTCTTGTCCGCGCGAAGTGCAGTCCCCGTGGTTTCACGCCGCTCAAGCTGTCTCCAATTGCATGGGTACAGAGCATCAAACAGCAAAGCAAGCCATCCAAGCACCTTGCATGATTTTTGGGGAGTGTTAGCCAGTCGCAAACACACACAATCAATGAGCCCGAATTGATTTCCACCTGCCGTGCGCATTGTGCTTCCTTCGTGCTAGAGAATTCCTTGCAGCGCCGCGGATGATTTCCCAGTTGGGCGTCCCAGATTGCCTCACAAGCTGTATCCGCTATATCCGCTGCCGATTTGTTCAAGACCAGTCGCAACATGAATTGCAGAAGGACACATCAATTAGATAGCTGTGCTTTGGGCTCGTGGTGCCTTTCGCCGAGGTTTTATATCCTCTCCTTGCGTGGTGACACCATCATCACCCGCGACTTCCGCGGCGATGTGGTCAAAGGCACCGCCGAGATTTTCTTCCGGAAGGCGCCGGAGCGCCACGCATCGAGCATACAGCATACGCAGCAAACGCCAATCCAACCACTCCAAAACTGGCATCCCAAACTGAGACGAGGTGAAGTTTTGGCACGGCGATGCGCCACCTATCTTCAACCTGGAAGGGGCTGCCTCCTCAGACGACCCACCATTCCATGTCCCAACCTGTTCCGTCCCAAGGTTACCTATGTCTTCATCAAGAAAAACGGGCTGTGCCCCCCTTTTTTTTCTTCCCCAGGATCTCGTTATTTTCATCCTCACCGAGCTGCTTCCGCTCGCTTCCGTACGCGGCCGGGCGGCCTTTTGCATGTGGCGGTAGGTACTTTGTGGCGACCACTTGTCACAACATCTCGCCCGCAGCGGTTGTGGAGCTGCTCACCAAGATGTCCAAGGCCGAAAGTCGAGGGGAGCTGGCCTTGCGGCTCGTCTTTTGGTTGTGGCTCGGTGCCCGACTGGTTTGGAAAGGGGCCAAAAAAAGGAATCAAAAGGAAGACCCACGCAAAATTGGAGGTACCCCCCAAAAAAGACATGCCCAATTCAGATGTCGAAATGGAGTCCTTTGGCTTGGTGTAGCCTGCAACAAGCTAGCTTGAACATCGATTGGGAAACCCCTGCAAACGGCGGTGACATAGGTCCCCATCTGCATTTGCCAAAGGCTTCCCAATTTTGGCACGAAGCAGGTTCATGCTCAGTGGGAAAACAGCCGCAGGAAGGCCAAGCACCGTTTGAAGGGCTGAATTGTACCTGGAGAGCCTGAATCAATCAGCCATCAATTCCAAGTGGATTTCAGGTGTTCAAAGATTTCTGCGGCGTTCTCAATGAGGAGAGCATAAGGCTCGAGTGGCTTCTTGACATGGCAGTCTGACTTTCCAAGTGGGATTGTTGGGTTGCGATTTGCCAGGAAGAATTTTGTGCTGGTGTATGAGCTGTTGGACGAGATGGTGGACTACGGCCGCGCGCTTTCAGAGCACAGCACATTAAAGCGAATGTTGGCTGGGGAAGCAGCGCAAATGGACATTCTCTATGCCAAGGATATCCACAGACGACCAACACCGAACACCTCAAGTGGCCTCAGCAGAGTTGCGCTGAATTCCCTTGGCTCGGGCTCCGGGCACAGGTCCTGCATTCACAACGAAGCTGTGGTCATCGAGGCGCCAAAGTCCGATGCCCAAGCTCGCAGCTTTGCGCCGCGAGCGAAACGGGGAGCTAAGGACTGGCCTCAACTTACCACAGTGGAACCCCCGGACAGTTCCCAGCAATGCCGTGCACCGGCCAGTCAGGATCCCAAGAAACGTGAATATGGCAAATGGCGATGGCATTCATGGCACTCGGATTGGGCTTGAGCCATCGATTTCCGCAGGTTGGGCCCATGCAGAATGACTCCAAGAGTAAGAAGAACGAGATCTTTGTCGACATTTTGGAGCGCATCTCCGTGCTCCACTCAGATTCTGCACTGCCGAGGTTGAGCCCGAAAGCTCAGGTCCTGATGAGTTCCAATGGCTTCGTCATCAATAGTGCCATCGATGGGAGCATCCAGATGAAGCTCGAGCCTTAAACAGGTCCCTTGTACGTGCCTGTCACGGCGAACGCAGGTCTTACCTCATGGGCAACCCAGAGCTTAAGTTGGCACTCAATGAGGCCGGAGACTTTCAAGAGCCATGAGGTACAGGCTAACGCACGCACACATGTCACAATGCGAGTGTAGAAAGTCTTATATTGCAGATAGTGTTATAATATAGGCCGGCTCAGGAGCTGTATATAGTATGTGTATAATTTGAGTTGTGTTTAGTGCTTTTCCCTTCTGGATGAGGCGGGCCCCTACCCAAATCATGGAAACCTTGCAGTTGGGGCTTCAGAATATGATTGCTGGTCAGAGCCCGTGTTTGTGTAGTCTAGGAGGGACGTTGGGATGTGAGATGCGGATGTTTTCATGCATCCTGCGCAGTGGCCCCTTCTGGGATAGTTCTAGAATGGCCGGCGGCAATTCTGCGTGCTAGCCACTAGCCACCCGATAGCTCCGCGCTAGCGCCGCGCTAGCACCGCGCTAGCAGGCAGTTGCCAAACCGAATGCTAGAGCACGTGCCTTGTTGGAGGCAAGATCCAACAACCACTTGCATCTCTCAAAAGCGAGATAAAGCAAATCTGAAAGCAGAGCTCGAGCCACAAACATCGCCGGGCCGCTTGCCGAGCCAAGCTGCACTGCTAACCCGCAACGGCACGCCCTGGTGTTCACAGAATCCGGCTAACCAGCCAAGCTGGAGGTCCAAAGAGCGGAACCGGGGAAGGTAAAGAGGGTTGTCATTGGGAACGACTGAGGGGGGCAAGATGGCAGACGCCGCAGCAAGCGTTTCAATCGGTCAAGGATCGGCCGGGTGACGCAGCACAGGGAGCGCAAGCAGCGACAGCCTTTTGCAAGAGCGCGAAGCGCGGTGAACTCGTTTCAGTGATGTCCAGGCAGCCGTCCATCGGACAAATCGGGTTTGAGGCCGTACAGGCTTAGACGACACCCTTTGTTGATCCGAGGGGGACAGCTGGCCAAGACGGGCAGAATCCATATGTTTCAAGGTAGTTTCTTCTGAGCATCGGGCCCAGATCTCGCCTAGCATGGCAGAAGGGGCTGTGGGTGCTCGGAGGCTTGGGATATAGAGCGCGGGTTTTGTGGAAAATATGTGGTCAAAGCGATTCAACTTCTAAAACACAAGGTCTTGCGGTTGGCCTGTCTATTTTTGTCGGTATGCCTTTAGTAGTCTTAATCCATCGATCTGTCCGTTTATACATGTATACGCACATACAAATATGTATGTACCCGTTGAATACAGAGGTATGTATTGAGCGTTCTTTCAGTCGAGGACATCATGGTGAAGAACATGGACCTCGGTGGCAGCCACGGAGGCCTGGGAGCTGCTTCGGCTTGCGGGGTCCGTGGCGTTTGGAGGCTATGGCTCGGTGATCCTCGACGACTGCAACTTTCACGAGTGCGTCGACCTACAGGAGCCCAGCGCGCGGGTCAGGACAGAATGACAGAATGGCAGAGAGCTGCTCCGCATGGACAGGACTTTTCTGATCTCAGAACTTTGTCCTTCTACCCGCCAGATGGCGAGTTTGCGGTCTGCTCCCAAGAGACTTGGAGGTGATGGATTGGAACTTGCGAAGCTTTGATACTTCAGGTCATGAATTATCGCATCACCGGTGACTTCAGGGTGCCTTTCAGGACGCTGCCTGGCCACAGCAGGAACTTCCAGACCCTGCGATGCCAGGATATTTCCCTTTGCAGAGCTCCAGGCGCCCTATAAGATTGAGGTCACCATCAAGGCGCGAAGTCGGACGTCGGGAAACATCGTGGCAGCTCTAGGCAGTCGATGGGTGCCAGGTCAGAGCTGATATTCCAGAGCAAAATTATGGTGGCAATGTCCAGATCTCTTGCATGCTGCCCAAGGCCGCGCTGCAAGGAAGACATGTAGCCCGCCAAACATGGACTGATCTTGAAAAGACCAGAGTGGGTCAGCTAAAGTGAAAGGAGTGTGGGTCAAGAATAGGTACCCGAAATGGAACCTTGGTAAATGCAGACAAGGACTAAAACCTGTGGTCCCCTGGTGGTTTAACTTTGAGCCACACCCAAAAATTGGGGGCCTAACAGTACACCGGGCTCGGTTTCGGCTTCAGAGCCCAAGCTTTGCTTTGAGTCAGTCGAGTGTGCCATGCCAGACTTCCGCCTCCGTTTCCACCGAGCTGGCAGTGTCCGGGCAATCTGCAGAGTGCGCGGACGGCTACAGACTCTGTTCCGGGTAAATCAAGCCTCAGGTTGGCTCATATCTCCCTGTGTACCAAAACAGGTCAGCACTCTGAGAGCGCATTGTTCCGTTTGTTCATCGAAGGCTTTATCTTTTTTTGGCTTCGGGCGCTTACGAATGCAGGCCGTCCGGGTGCGGTTTCCCGCAGGTACCTCGCCAGCGAGCACCGCTTGGTTTGGAACATCAAGAAGTTCCAAGGTGGAACGGAGGACTGGAGAAGGGGAGGTCGCATGAGGTCGCTAGGTTTTTTGTGTTTGTTCATTTGCAGAGGCCGCCATCAAGTGCCGTGTGACACTGTCAGCCCCAGTGTCCAACATCGCCAACATCAAAAAAGAGGCTGGCGGCCGTGGCCGACGAAGTGGCTCGCGGCGTATGCGTCGGTAGGTTGGTCCTGTGTCCCTGACCTATGAGATTCCAATGTACAACGTCTCGAACCTGCAGGTCTGAATCAATGAATCAATATGCGAAGTTGGCAAGCGAGTTCCTCTGCAGGTGCGCTACTTGCGCATTGCCGAGAGGCACAAGTCCTATAACCCTTGCCGATGGGTGAGGCCGACTGCTTGTTTGCGTTGCAAGCCATCATGCTTCGAGACGAGAGAGACGAGAGATAGCAGACCTGACCGAGGTATGTGACTCAGTCCTCCTCGTACGTTTGTCGGTTCTGAGCGTTGCAGCTTCCCTTGGATGTTTCTCGATGCGCTCAGCGGGTTCGCTGGCCAATTCTGGAATCTGTTATTGAGCCAAGCCCTTGATCGATGCCGCTTGCACACTTGCCTGTTTTCTTGCGAACTGGCGGGCCTGAACCCAGCAGCTGAGTCTTATGTGCGGCTGTCACGGTTCATGAAATGTTAAAGTCACCGTGACTTGGAGCAAGGAAGTTGGACATGTGGTTCGCACAAGGAAAGATACCAAGGGCTGGAAACCGCGCTGAATGACGGTGCAGGAATGCCAGAGGCGCCGAGAAAAAGTTTGAACGGGACTGGTGTTTGACAAATAGCGATGTTGCCTCTGATAAAAAAAGGTGCCGTTTTGGGCTCAAAGCAGACGGGTGAAACGACCCGCCCCGCTTGGCCGATTGCGAGAAGGGAAGCCTGACAGACCAGGGTTCATTGTCGGCACAGCTGTTTGTAGACGAAGCAAGAAACAAATCATGCGCACAAACTCTCCCAAGTTGCAATACAACAGCTCATCTTGCTGCGATGAGCTACGTCCAATCACAGGCATGATTGGAGCAACTGACACTGGCTTGGGCGGAGCATGAACTTGAATAGCTGGTCGTAAACATCACTTTGTGGAAAGACCAATCTGTTTGGGAGCAGGCCGCTGTGGGGGTGCACTTGTTTGCACATCTCAAGCTGTATAAAGTATGGGAAGTTGACTTACTCATCCTAGCTTTCGATATGGTTTTCACATACACGTGCAGCCATGCAACAACACGACTGGGATCTAATTATTCATATTATCATATCCCGTGGTTTAAATCACAAAAAGACTTGTAAAACACTGGCTTGACTTGCGCAAACAAGCGCAGGCCCAGATCGTTGTTGTTTGTCTATTCGGGGGCCCGTCCAAAAAGATTCCTGCCAGCCCCAATGATACTGAATTGTCTTGGAGAACCAAACATATTGTCCATGGCATGCGAGAAAGCAGCGGAAAGTGTTTTTTCTTTCTTTTTTTTCCCGTGTCATGTCGCCCTTGTCAATAGATTTTGTCCATCGGATGCTTTGGATGCTGGTTGTGGCAAAGAGGGCGACCTCGCTGCGGCTTTGGCTGCTGTATGCAAACAAGAATCTGTTAAGGAGAGCAAGCCAAAGAACGTTTCCCCCCCCCCTCCCAATTTTTTTGCGCCGGCCAGGTGCCTTACTCGATCATAGCGACGAGTCCCGCCAGGGCCTCGGTATCAGCGCAGCTTCTCTGCGCTGAGCGGCGAGCTGAGCGCAGGCCATGGCTGGAGATCACGGGCGGGGACTTCGCACTTCCGGCGGTCGCACGTGGCATGAGAGGGATGGATACGGCTGTGGTGGTCAAGACCTTTTTGGGATCCCATTTTGGGGTAGGTGAATTCACCACCCATTTGAGGACCCGTTTTAGTGGGGTCACTGGGGTATGGGCGTTTGACCCATGGCCAGATACAGGAAACAGAGGCTGTATATACCAGATATATATACCAGATACAGATACATGTACTAGAGGTATGTACCAGATAACAGGTATATATTCAATAGACAATACCAGAGGCTGCAAAGAATTGGCGCATCTTCAGGAGCAGGTTCTCCATGTTTGGCAGTGGGGCAGCCGTATGCTCTTCGGATGGGAGAAAACAGAATAAAACACGAGCATCCAACTTGCGGGCAGAAACAGGGTGATTCCGTTTTTGACCACGGCTTTAGCCTTCTGCCTTTCAGACCTGAAGGCTGGGCCGCACCGTCAACCCACTGAAACGCAAGTCGCCCTTGCAGCGTGCGCGTGACCAACTTGTCACCCACACTACAAACACAACCAAGCCTATCAAGAGTCGAAGTTCAACATGTTCATGCTCTCTCAAAAGTGCGATTACTTGAAAGCAGATCGTGCCCTTGAGTGTGCGCCTGAAGTGTCCCCCATCATTGCATTTAGCGAGATGGGCGGAGGATCATATTGATTGCTGAGCGCCGTGCTTACGTGCGTCCTTTTCAGCCGAATGTATCTTGTATTGGTTGGCGCTTTCGCCAATCTCAAAACAGAATGCTTGGGCGGCTGGTTGCGTTGCCGTCTAAAGCTTATGTTTGAGGAATCCCACGGTCATTGCGTCGAATCTTGCACTCACTGCAAGCACTCTGAATGCCAATCGCGAATTCAACATGTTCTGGCATCGTCGCCTTGCAAAGCCATGTGTTTAGCCAATGAATGAATGACCTCATTCTTTGCTGCTGCCCGTGCTTAGTGTAGCAAAAGTAAGAGGGTTGAAATTCCCTGCGTTGCCCCCACGTCTCTCACGTTCATCTTGCTTTTCACATCGGAGTTGAGGTTTGTGCAACCTGCGACCCCTAGACCCCTTGAGTTGTGGTCTAGGCCCCAAGCTATGAGTCGACTAATCGTGAACGGACTTGCTGGAGTCTCGAAATTTGCGCACGATGCAGGCCAGAGTCGGCGCCGGGAGCCTGCACTGGGCTTTGGGATTGATGATTTGTTGTTGCTTGAAACGAGGCTCGCCATGGATAAGAAGCCGCTCGGAACGCAAGGGACAGACGCACGCGAAAGACAGAATTTGCACACGTCATGCCTAGGGGCCTCCTCGTGGAAGATGAAATGCACCGCGGCCGAACAAAATCTCAATCTGGATGCACGTGTGGTTGCACATCACGTCTTGCCACCTTGAGGCAAGATATCGAAAAAGAGGCCCACGTCCGGAATCTGCCAAGGCCGGATTTTGAGACCCCGACTACTCCAAGTTGGATCCCAATGGGGGCTGATCAAAAGCTCCTTTACATTTGACCAGGGAACCCCCCCCAAACAAGATAGGGCTTTCAGGGTCGTCTTAGGGCCCCAAATGGCTGTGGGTCAAAACCAATGGTCATTTTGGGGTAGGTGCACCACCCAATTTTAGTCTATTTTAGTGTGGATTGGGATGTTCACTGGGCGTACGGGCTTTTGACCCATGGCCAAATGGAGCATGGATCACCCCCAGCAGCAAATGTGGCAGCCATGGACCCAAGGCTGGTTGGGGAGCTTCCCTCTGATCGCGCTGCTCGCCGCCGGGGGCTGGAAAGCCGTCTCCGCATCGCCCACGCCAAGGAGTGAAGCGGTTACGCGAGGGAATGAGACATGGAATGAACCCAAGAAAATCCATCCCAACTTGGGCTTCCTAGGGAATCTCAGAATCTCCAGGTTCATTCCATTTCTCTTTCCCTACCTGGAGCACCAGCAAGCTTATGGGTTTGTTTCTTGGTTTTGGTAGCTTCATTTGGTTTCGGGTGTCATGCCGGCCTTCCAGGGCGACTTAGCTCGCAGGTGGCCGCAATCACGGAGCGACCTTTGATACATGGTAGGCTCGAGGTTTGTGTTTGAGTGTTGACCCCATATTACTCAACCCCTGTTTAATAGGGGGATTCCCCGGGTCTAGTGGGGAATCATCACTTTTGGAGGGGAACACCCCCTATTCATAAACAGGAGTCGATTAATATGGGGTCAACATTATAGGTCCATGTGTTAAAAGCATCCCAAGCATTTGATCAGGTGTGCCATTCTCGGCCTCTTAGTGCGGAGCATCTGGGTTTTTTGAGGCCGAGAATGGCACGGATGGCCAGGTACTAGCATCGATCCGCGCTGCAGCTGCCATGCAGGGCAACATCCCGGGATATTCGGTGCCCCGTCCTGATCAAACTCTCTCACGTGAGAGTGCGGGCCTTTGCGAGGTGTATGCCATGCACTTTCTCACCACATCGCCTGTTGCTGAGACTTTGTTTTTCATATAATTACTGAACTGAGATGATTGTTGATGCTGGCAGGTCCGATGTGATATGTGTGGTGTGCAGTTTGCCGCTTTTTGCGTTTGGTGCACGAGGAGTTTCAACTTCCTGTGGGTTTCGTGGTGTTAATCGAAGCAGATCGCCAGGACTCTGTGTGCAGAAGGGCTGTCTTGGGCCAATGCTGACACTGGTGCCCCGAAGTGAATTGGAACACGGAGCTCCCGTGGTCGCAACTCTCAGCGGAATTTGTGTCAGGTCTTCGCGATGTCCCTGGTGGACATCAGTGCCTTCGGCGCGTGCCCCTGAAAATTGAATCCATTGCTTTCTGGTTCGGCACACGTACAACGTGTCTCGCTAGGTACCTTTTAGTTGCCACACCTCGACCACTGGCACCTGGCTCCAGATCGCGCGCCGCCAAATTGTTTCGTCGCTCCTCCGCATGGACTCTTCGTCAGGGTTGTGGATGTGATGGAAGCTATGGTGGGTGTTTGGGAGGCTGGAGAGATGTGGGGTACCTTTTGTAGGAAGACACAATTCCCCTGTCAGTGGGCGCTTCTGGCATCGGTGGCTCTGCAAACGGCGCTTTGCGCCTCAAGTCGCAGTCTGAGTACAGCAACGCAATGAAACATGCCAATGTCAGACATGTCAGATGAGTGTATCGAGGCTGGCGCATCTACCGCGCCCTGCGCATGGTCCGGAGCTTTCGGGAAGCTTCTGAGAGATTCTGAAAGTCGAATTGGAGTCACATCGTCGCCAGGCTGGGCTGTATGCGCCAGAGAAGCCATCAGACGTCGCAAGAGACCGGCAGAAGGATGGGCAAATTGAAGCTCCTGTGGTGACGGTTTGCTTGCGTTTTTTGAGGAGATCTCTGTACTGGAGATTGTTTGCGAAGCTGAGGCGCAACCAGTTTGCTGGATATGTTTATGTCTTGTTCGACTCAAAAATCCTAGGACATTGACAGCTTGGAGCAGATGGAGTTCCCCTGCTGCGAGGAAAATACTATCGCTCGCTTAGTATGTGATGCCCAACTTGCACGCAGGCGAAGAGCGACTTGTCCGAGGCGGAGAGCTCTGCGATAGAGAGCTGTCCGGTCTTGGTCTCCGGTCAGGTCATCATCGACACCCGCGCTAGCATAGAGTCTGCAAAGTCACACAACGGGACCAATGGGTGAGTTAATTCTCAGTGCATCTGGGCTCTCATTTGTCCCTGCTTCGGCTCTTGACAATGGTCAAAGAGAGCTGTTGCGGTTGGATTTGTTTGAGGACTCGTTTCACTGCATGAAGCTACGGCCGCACGCGCCAACATAAGGCTTTCAGATCCCCTCAGAATGAGCTAGGAGTTTCTGTTAGGCATGAACGTTGAACATGGGGCCATCAAGCAACTTGCGCTTGCCTTTTGCGAGTTCAGAGAAAGGCTAGGTCGCCTGCGCAAAGAGCAAGATGTCAAAAAGGGAATCCAGGCTGGGTGACAAACAGGGAGACGAGCATCCCCAAGCTTGAAGTGAGAACTATATTTGCCTCGGAAATTGGATGCCACGTTGGTACTTGAAGCAGAACAAGTGAAGGTGGATATTAGGAACATGATGCAAGAAATGCTGCTCTGCTGTGGCGCAAGCTAGCAGTCTGCCAACTTGACTGTGAATCAGTCAGCCTAGTGCGGGCAATCAAACCTCAAGGAGGTGAACATCCATTGAAGTTGTTAGGCAATCCACGTGTCCCAGACAAAATGCATTGCTGGAGTCACTAGTTTCGCAAAGTTTTGCATGCTGGCCTACCATGTCAATTGCTGTATCCCCTCAGCAGGCATTGCTGTTTTTTTGCACAGTCCAAAAGTGCCAAGCATGGTCAGCTTGAATCTCGAACAGCTGCTTGGCTTGGAGCTGATTTTGCAAGCCACGAAGCAAAAATGGCAGAGAAACGCATGCTCAGAGCATCATGAATCATGAAAGCTTCAGAACAAGTTGATACCCCGTGCGTGTCGGGCTCTCCGTGCAATGTTGCGGTTCCCCATGTTTGGGGTTTTGGCTTTGCTCGTGCCGGGTGGTGCGCAGTTCTTGAAGCAAAACAGCTCCCAGCTTTCCAACGAGACGTCGGCGGATCAGCAGGCGGCGGACCAGTCGGCCCTGGCAGCGCTGCGCAGCCTCTCTCAGTGGCAGTGGAGGGCCGCGCTGGGCCTCGTCTCGGTGGTGGCGGTGGCCGCGCTTGCGCTGCGGTGCACGAAATCCGCGCCGCTGGAGCGAGGGACGTCCGCCGCCCAGGAGGAGCTGACGGCCATGCTGCAGGAGTCTCAAGCACAGCAGCAGCACAGCACTGGCATCAAGTTCAAGATGCGCCTGTTGCTGAAGCGATGGCTCGGCAACAAGAGGGCCAACCGCATCATTGCTGATGCATCCAGCGGCACTACAAAGAACATCAAGTTAGCCTTTGAGTTGCTAGTGCTGGTGATGTGCCTTTTCTACTTGGACTTCATTCTAGATATCCAGGCCTGATGAATCGTGTGTTTTTCATGTATGTGCAACACATGTCAGATATGTCATAATCAGCCAGCTGTGTATCAGTTCCGTGTGTGCAATACCAGGCATGTATCACCTTCTACCAGACGAACAACCCACGGTTCCTGATGATGAACCTTTCTGCAATGTTTGCCGCAGCGGTGTACACGGCCTACCACGTATTTGTTCATGGAGACCGGCTTTTGGCGGACCTCTCCAGGCAGGAGGTGTTCACGTTGGGTGTCGCTTACGTCTTCCAGCTGCATGTGGTGTATTTGTGCTGGATCAGCTGGAAGCGCGGCAAGAAGCATCAGCTGCTCATCGATTCCAAGTTCGCGGAGGCGGCCATCGAGGCCGTGGTGTCCGCGCTGGTGCAGACCTACGCGGTGATTTTCGGCGCCGCGACCTTGTCGGGATATCAGCAGCTGACGCTCTACGTCTCCATCTTGGGCAGCTTGGCCTCGATATCCAACGCCTTTTCGCTCTTCGACTCGCCCAGTGGCCTGGACGAGGCCCCAGGCAACGTGGGCCAATTGAGCCCCAAGCTGCTGCTGGTGAACGCCTTCCGCCTCTCGGAGCTCACACAGAAGATCTCGCTCTTGGCTCTCTTCCAATTGGCTTTCCGGCCCTTCGGGGGCTGTTTGGTGGCCTTCGCCAACTACGTGCTGCTGACGATCTTCATTTGGTGCTTCCAGGGCCAGGCCTCCTTTGCGCTGCCCTGCATGTTCGCACTCATCAACCCCATGCTAGAGAAGTACAACGCCGTGACGCTGCCCCACAGCTTCTACTACGCCTTCCGCGCTCTGGAGACGGCGGGCCTGGTGCTGGCGGTGTGCCTGTGGCGGACGGATCTCCAGACGCTGTACCAGCACGCTGTGCCTGCCGTGACTGCACTCTTAGCATCGCCCTCAGCCACTTTCGGTCAGTCTGGATGTCAATGTAATTGATATAGCATATATATATATATAATATGGTCCCGTGTTCCGTGTTGCTACCCCCCCCCCCCCCAGATGGTATGGGTCCCCCAGGACCCCCCCCCCCCGGGCCCGAGACCCCGAGCCCCCGGATCCTGGCACCTACCCCACCCCACCCCGACCATCTCAACTCGCACCCTGAGACCCCGGCACCCCCCACCCCCAGGACAAGGCGACCCGCAACCAACCATAAACCAACCCTAAACCGTAAACCTCTAAACCTAAACCAACCCTAAATCAACATAAACCAGCCCTAAACTAACCCTAAATACACCCCAAACCAAACCCTAAACCTAAACCAACCCTAAACCAATCCTATATCAACATAAACCAACCCTAAACTAACCATCAATGCACCCTAAATACACCCTAAACCAATTCTAAACCAACCCTGAACCAACCCTAAACCACCACAACCCAACCACAGGACCACAACCACAGGGGGGGGCACTTGTCTGACCCATGACCATGGGGGGGGGGGGGGACTGGCAACGCTGTGTTAAATACATAACAGTCTTGCACAGATCGCCTACATGTGACAACCGTTACATGTCGGCACAAGGCCTTGAGCCTAGCCCATGCCCGCAGTACAAAAGATTACAACTGTGCCGTGTCGTTCATATCACAGGTCCAACACTTCAGGTCAACAGGTTCTACATTAACAACATTGAGTTTAACATGGTAGCGGAGCAGTGATCCTTGGTACACTGTCCACGACCGCAACCCAGGGTGAGCTTTTACACACACCCACAGGTTCAGGCGCACATGGCGGCACAAAAGCAACAGGAACAGCAGCTGGAAGGAATCCACAGACACAAGATATCACAACCACGGCTCACAGGAGAATACAACACCTTCGAAGAATGGAAGTACAAGATAACAGCATACTTAGGATTACAAGACCCAGCATACAACAGACTGTTGACACAGTCAGAGCAATCAACAGGACGAGTTACAGATGACCAACTTGAGAATGCAGCACCTTCGCAAGCAGTAGCAGAGCAATGGGTACAACTGAGCAACAATCTACACTACCTCTTGGTGCGCGCATGCGACGGACCAGCATCTACAATTTGCAGGCAAAACACGCAAGGCGACGGATTTGAAACATGGCGGCTGACACATGCAAGATACTCTATACCACTTGGCACACGAGGCATTGGGCGCCTAACAAGGTTACTCAAACCACAACTTGATGAACAGAAGTTCGCGGAGAGCTTCACAACATGGGAGTTCAACTCTCCAGGTACGAACAAGACAACAGCACACTACTACCAGATGCAGCCAAGATTGCAATACTGCTCAACGAGACAAAAGGGCCACTACAGCAGCATCTACAACTTCAAGCAGGAAACGTCGCAACCTCTGCACAGATCAGATCAATGGTGATCGAGTACTACAGAGCAACAGCATCATTCACCAGGCTACAAGCAATCACATCAGGCAGCAACAATCAAGGACCGGCGCCGATGGACATAGGAGCAACATGGTACAACAAAGGAAAAGGAAAGAAGGGCAAGCGCAAGGGCAAAGGAAAGTACAACAAAGGCAAAGGCTACGGCAACTACAGGAACAACTACAGCCACAACAACTACAAAGGAGGAAAAGGGAAGCACAACCAACAACCGGTTGGACAAGGAAACCCATTCAAAGGACAACATGGATATGGCAAAGGAAAAGGACACAGCAACAAAGGAAAAGGCAAAGGACACTACAACAACCAACAAGGAGGAAAAGGAGCAACAGGAAAACAAGCAACTGTTTGCCACAGATGTGGACAACCAGGACACAATGCAGAGTGGCGATCTACAACTGTGACACAGGAACTTTTGACACCAATGACCAGACAGATGACTGGTACAATCAGGCACACTACGACGACAACTGGTATCATCAGGATCAGTCACAGATGCACCAACTGGCGCTACCACAACCACCACAATTCCACAGGTAGCAGATCCATCAGCAGTACCTATCTCAGGATTACATGAAGTAACCATCGCCATGATTGGCACAACGCAACAACCACCAGAAGACAACAAATGGGTCAGTCTCATGATTGGCAGCGGTGCTGCTACACATGTATGCCCACTATGGTTTGCGTCACAATTTCCACTACACCAACTAGCGCCTGGCACAGGACCACAACTGCGAACAGTGACCAACCAGCGCATCAAGCTTCACGGGTACAGATGGGTTTGCGTAACAAACCACAGCGGACAACAGATTGTCATACCGTTTTAGAGGTTAAACAGCCAATTCTTTCGGTTACAAGGCTGGTGGAACAAGGTTTCCAACTTACACTGGATGACAATCCAAGACTACAGCGCATCAAAGGCTTCAACAGCACTCTGGAGAACAGAAATGGCCTGTTCTTCCTACAAGCAGAAATCACAACATTGCCAAAAGGAACAAAGTTACAGATACACAACACAGAACAAGGACAGATTGGCATGATAGCACCGACCGCAACGCTTACACCACAAGGTCCTGCAGACACAGGATATGCAGGAGACTACTGGCAGTCCAACGCAAGGAGAACTTGTCAGAGCACACAGGCAATACAGGAGGACACTTTTCACACCATCGAGAACACCGTGTCCAGTTCCAGCAGAGCAACTAGAGGATTACAGGAAAACAACAATCAGGTCCAAGGACGGCGCAACAAATACATTTGAGGACAAGTATCAAACAACAGAAGATCCAAACAAAGCACAACCACAGATGTGGAAAGGCGAGACAGCCTTCAGGATCAAGAAAGGCGCAAAGTTGCCAGAAACGCTGCCGCAACAGTTTACAACAAAGACACAGCCAAGGAGCGAGCCACAGAGGATCACACCACCAGTGATTCACTACAACCCACGAACGAGGTTGAGAGAGAAAACAACACCACCAACACTACAGGGGTCAGCAGCACCACAGACCACCAAAGGTGCAGCTGGACAAGGAATTCCACATCCTTCAGAAGCACATCCTGGAGGAGACTACTGGTACAGAGAAGGCCCACACCGGAAGAGAGTACATGTTGAGCCTAGAACAGCGTTTTACATACCAGAGCAGACAGGCATCAAACGACGCATACCTTGGAGACAGACCAAGGTACAACCAGTTGGAGGAGAAAGACAACACACAAGATTGATAGAAGATGAATGGACAACACAGCCATCAAAGACATCAGACAAGCCTTGGACAGGCTGGACAGACTTTGAGGAACATCAGGAGTTCCCAACACAACTTGAGTCAGATGATGAAGAACAACAACAAGGCACAAAAGCAAAAGCAGTACAAGCACCCAAGCAACCAACACCACAGGAGACACATCTCCCTTACAGGAGTTGGTGTCCAATATGCGTACAAGCAAGAGGCAGACAGAACAATCATCCAAAGCAACGTAGATGATAGCAGTGTACACCCAATTCTCACAGCAATTGGCATCCAGTCAGGGATGATCATGGCACTACAACTGACAGACAAGAGACTGCTCTTCGACTATGCAGTCACACAGCTACAGCACTTCCTCATTGAGCGTGGAAGGACAACACGCACGATACTACAATCAGATCAGGAAGACTTCCTGACAGCGCTCTCGACTGCAGTGGCCAACAGGAATGTCAATATCACCACGAGACACAGTTCACAATCGCAAGGAGGAGTAGGAGGAGTAGAGCGAGCGCACAGAACATTGTTTGCACAAATCAGAACACTCAGCACAGACCAGACAAAACTACAACAGAGACATTTCAATGAAACATCCACTCATGCCTTGGATAGTTCGACACAGCGCATACATCATGAACAGGTATGCAGTTCACAGCAATGGATGCACAAGCTACTTCAACAGATGGAACAGAGAGCAACACACACCACTTTGCGAGTATGGTGAGACAGTGCAACACATGCTACCAACAGTGAAACAATTTCCAAAACCCGAGCCTAGATTCTACAACGGGATCTGGCTTGGCAAGGAAACAACCACAGGCGAATCCCTCCTTGGGATCTACAACAAGATTGTCAGAGCAAGGGCAATCAGAAGGCAGATTATGCCTCGCAAATACAATCAGCAACTACTGGCCTGTGTACACCCATGGAAGACACCAGCATCAGCGCTGCACACACCAACTCTCACAACACCATTGACAATGCCAGCTACAAGCAAGGCACCACCATCGCAGAAAGATGCAACAACTAGCGCAGCAGCAGAAGGCAAGAGACAGAGCGCAACAGAAGCAGGCGATCAGCCAACAAAGCAGAAGAGAACAACAGAGCCAACATCTCCCATGGCTACATCACCAACAGACCAGAAGCGACCAGCACTGCCAGCACCACCGCCGCATACATCACCTACAAGAGAAAGAGATGACACAACAGGAGAAGGCAGTACAGGCAAGCAACAGCGTACCGCAGCAGAAAGACAAGCACTTGAGCGACCTACAACATCAGAACAACCAAAGAGCAAGATGAGGATAAACGCCATCGAGTTCACAACAAAGGACGGTAAACAAATGCAAACAACATCTAATGAAGATGCGGAAGAAATCAACAATGAAAGGATCCTACTAGAGCCAATCCTACATGACACAGAAGACTTGGACCCACAACAGGTAGCACAAGGAATGAAGAAGGAAGTGCCACAAATGAAAGATCAATCACTCTTTACACTAGCACGCATAGTAGCAAAGGGCTACACAGAACCCGTTACAGACCACAATCTCTTGTTTGCAAGTACACCATTGTTTTGCATACTGAGGATACTCCTCACAATGGCATTGGTGCACAACTGGTCGGTCAACACAAAAGATGTCAGTGTTGCATTTCTACACGCAGAAGCAATCTCCTACAACCTGGTAATGCGACCACCGCATGAGTTCTACAATGATGGAAACAGACGCACAATGTGGCGGCTGAACAAAGCCATGTATGGCCTACGATCATCATCAAAACAATGGCAAGACCACATAGCACACATTCTCACAGTCACACTTGGACTTGTGAGATGTACAACAGAAAGCAATGTTTACAGATCAAAAGACTGTCATGTCTACATCATGATCTATCTGGACGATCTCCTTTTCATAGCAGTACAGAACATCATCAACGCGCTCTTCAGCAGTATACAAAAGAAAGTTCTGCTGAGACACACAGGCGACCTAACAGTTGGATCAACAATACATTTCCTTGGCAGGAAAATTTCACACAAAGGCGCACATTGACATCAGCTTGAACAACAACTATGTTGACATCATCCTGGAAGAATCAGGAATGACGACATGCAACCCAGCACCACCACCAGGAGCACCACGCATGAAAGGTACAGCAGAAGATGAAGCACCGCTAGATCAAGAACAACGCAAGAAATACAGGCGGCTTGTTGGCAAAATAAAATGGCTAGCACACACACGACCAGACATCGGCTATGGAGCAAAGGAGCTAGCAAGATCACTACAAGCACCAACGCAACTTGACAACAAGAAGCTCAAGCGCATGATCAGATACCTTAAAGGAACAGGGTACTCGCGACACAACTTGCGACCAAGGATACAAACACAGGACAAACGAATTCCACTCAACATTGACACATACACAGATGCCAACTGGGCATCATGCGAGACAACAAGGAAAGCGCAACAGGATTTGTACTGTACTTCTTTGGAGCAGCAGTACACTATGGCAGCAGAACACAAGCAACAACAGCACTTTCATCAGCAGAATCAGAGCTGTACGCAATTGGTACAGCGGCGCAGGAGAGCCTCTACATCAGCCATTTCGTCAAGGAAGCATTTGAGGTACGCACCAACATCAGGATACACACAGACAGCAGCTCAGCAAAATCCATAGCAATCAAGAACTTTTGCATGACATTCTGTACATGTTTCTGACAATGGTTCAGTACATGCTGCAGCCATTTGCATTTGACGTCTACAGGAACCTTAGACACTCGGCTTTTACATCAATGGCACATCGCGCATACAAGACTTTGCATCCACAGATGATGGTTCCGGACGGATTTACATTGGAACCGGTGGACGTCATCGTTCCGACGGAACCCCAGGATTACACTACGGTGTTGATCCCACTTACAGTGGAACAGTACAACTTCATTGGGTTTCGTCGGTATGTTGTACAGCATCATGGATTGCGTTGGCTACATCAGCTGGTTGATACACGAGGGCCATGACAGCACAGTCGACTTGGTCACATTCTTTGTGTACAAGCTCAGCCTGCAGACAGCAGAACTGTTTCAGAAGGTCTATGAGAAGAGGATTACAGTTTTCAACCGCGGGCACATGAGTGCACATGGGACTTGACACCTACAGAAGGGCGTCTGGGATTTTCTACAAGCTTACAGGGCACATCACCAACCTGTACGAGAATTACAATTTGACCAAGGACTACATCATCCTTCAGCACATCAGTATCCCTATCAAGAAAGTACTGAATACAAAGGATCCCCTTGACAGGACCCATGCAGGTTTCTCGATGGCTTTGAACCATCAGACATTTCCTGCAGCGCAGACCATCTCGGAGCCTTTGAAGACAATGGTCATTGAGCACATTACAGCTGACGGGAAACAGCACGGACCTGACCCCCGGACAGATTGGGTACAGCGACCAACGCTTGCAGGAGATTCACAGCGCAATGATTTTGTCACAACATCAGGGCTACAAGCTGCTCAACAAAAAGAAGGTCATGGACGACAGCGCTTGAGTACATCAAGTACATTTTGCCACAATGGCGCACCGCAACTCGTGGTACAATTGATCCGACAGCAAGGGACATCGATGTACAGCACATCTGCTTTCTGGCTATCAGTTTACACGCAGAGGTTTCTTACACCATCCCGATCCACAAGGACATTTGTACACTTTTGCAAAGTGTGCTAACATGGCACAATTTGAGGAGGGGTGTTAAATACATAACAGTCTTGCACAGATCGCCTACATGTGACGACTGTTACATGTCGGTACAAGGCCTTGAGCCTAGCCCATGCCCGCAGCACAAAAGATTACAACCGTGCCGTGTCGTTCACATCGCAGGTCCAACGCTTCAGGTCAACAGGTTCTACATTAACAACATTGAGTTTAACACGCTGAAACATACATATATATATATATATAGAAACACATATGTATATATATATAATATAGACATATATGGCGCCCCCCCCCCCCCCCCAAATGTCGACCTTTTGTCTGTCTTCATCTGTGATGCCCGCTACATCTGACTCTGCGAAAGGAAAAAGACTCTTCAACTCAACCGTTTGAACCGTTTAAACCGGTTGAACCCTTTCTCAAAGGAAAGGTCTGGGCCCAAAACCGTTTAAACCCTTTCTCAGAGAAAAGGTCTGGGCCCAAAACCCTTTAAACCGTGCCCTCTCTCAGATGAGGGGGGAGGGCTTGCGTGTGAGAGAGGGTTTTAACAGTTTAAACGGTTTAAGTAGAAAGTGTTAAAACGGTTTAAACGGTTTTGGGGCTCTGGCTCTTGGGGGATAGAGGGTGGAAGCACCTTTCCTCAGAGAAAGGGCTGAAACGGTTCGGCCTTGGGGGGCGGGGGTCCTCTGAGAAAGGCTTTAAACGGCTTGGGGATCTCGGGCCTTCTTCTTTCAGAAAGGGGGAAACGGTTTGGCCCTGACTCTCTTCTTTGCTGTTGTTTTTGGCATCTTCTGACCAAACCTCGGCTTAAAAATAGGACAGAGGTAGATCCAAACCGACTAAAATTTCATTCGGGCCTGGACTCAAGACTCGCGGGAAAGTTTTTGTTTAAACCTCAAGCTTGCAGATTGTCTTTGGACATGTGCTCTTATTCTGCTGCTGTCCAAAATCCACAAAAAAGCAGGAAACGCTGCAAATATACATATGAGTTATGAAAAAACTATTCTAAGTAGGATCTCCTTTTCAATTACTCTTTTTGTTTTGAATGTGTATGTCAAATTTGACTGCAAGGGCGGTCTCCTTTTCTTCTTTTGAACTTAACACGGACATACTCCTAGTAGGATGTTCCAGTTTAAAGAGAATCTAAATAGGCATTCCTGTTCAAATAAGATTTGTAGCAACTCCAATTAAAGCCCTTCTTTTAAGACAAGCCTATCTAAAATATCGTTAAAAACAGAAACTCTACTAGAATTATGTCATTGTGATCAAACGATAAAATTGAACACGATTCAAAGTATAATTTTGATTCTTGCAATTTCGATTCTAAAGGGGGTCTCTTTTTCTAGGGTCGTGTATTCAATTGTGGGGTTTAGCCAGGAATAATCTTAGTACGATTGCCAGTTTAGAGCGAATCTAAATAGGTGCCCTTTTCAAAACCAAGTTTGAAATTGGAATTTAAGTCATGTTCTAGTTGTATTGTTTGATCAGACATTAAACAGAACTTAACAAGGACATATGTCTAGTAGAGTGTCTAGTTTTGACCAGGGTTTAAGTCGTTTGTTAAAATGATATTCTTAATCGGAATTCTTATGTCAAATTCGATTTTGAAGCGGGTCTCTTTTTCTAGGATTGAGATGTCCAATAAATTTAGACACATTAACAGTGACACATCCTAGTACAATGTCTAGTCTTAGAGATGATGCAAATAGGATTTCCTTTTGGAAGAATATGTTTCATTGTAATGCTTCCGCTAACAGTGACACATCCTAATATAATGTCTAGTCTTAAAGATGATGCAAATAGGATTTCCTGTTGGAAGAACATTTTTAACTGTAATGCTTCCTTCAAAACAGATTTTAAAGAAGACGTTCTTCCCCAGGATGTTTTTCCCAGTTTCTAAATAGAATCTAAATAGATTTAAATAAGGCACCTTTTTTTGCTGCTTTCCCCGAAGCAGAAAGATCGCATAAGACACCGCAAATAGCAGTGACACCAACAAAAAGGTCGACATTTAGGGGGGGGGGTAGCATATGTATATATATATATCTATATAGATATAGAAAAAACATATGTATATAAATATATTACAACATATATATATATATATCAACATATATATATATATACACACATCAGTAAAAAGTGAGACTGAGAACTTTTGAGAAGCGATTCGCCCGCCGCCAGCCCTTGGCATTTGTTTCCTTCGAGGTGTGTACAATCTCCATGGCGCTGCTGCTCCCGGTGATCCGCTGCCTCGCTTGGCCCGGCCTGGCCGATCCCAAGGTGTACACCATGGCGGAGCCTCGGCCTCAAGGCTCCGTGTCGCACAGCTCAGCACATAGGTGTCCTTTTTAGGTCACTTTGCTCAAAATAGACTGCGCTGGTTTAGATGGATCTTGTTCCATTTACCAGGGCCCTTTGGCTCAGCATCTGTTGAAGTGCCGGGACGTCCGAGTCGCCAAGGAGTGGACAAAGAAGCCCTTCAGTGCAGCCCAGCATAAGCTGCGCGAGGCAGTGCTGGCAGGCGCCTGGAACAAATCTGTTGCGCAGAAGTGAATAGATGAATACACGTGCTTCTGTTTTGTGTATGTATTTGCGGACATCCACATTGAATCACATTGGGCACTGACATATTGCAAGTCTTGAGGAGTATTTGCCGAGTTCGCCTTCTGCACATTTCAGGTCCCGAGCGTGATACGGCTATCCCGGTGATGCTGGCGCCCGCTCGCCGTGTCCTGGAAGTGGCCGTGATGCTTTGCTCAGTCTACTAGATCATTGATCAAGGTATTGTTGTCCAGGTAGCAATGATGTTGTTGTTAGCATGGGGGCAATCAATAGCTGGGTTGACTCTGAAGAGTTCCAACATCCACCGCGCGAAATGGCTCAAAGGAATATCAACAAGACGAATTTGGACGCGTTCATGCAGGAGGTCGGGGAGGAAGCCATCAGTCAAAGCTTGTCGCCGCCGCCCACGGAGTTCATGCGCAAGGCGCTCCACGTCATGGGCAACACGCCTTTGGAGGAAGATTCCAAGCTGCGGCAGGGGCTGCTGAGATTTGCGCTGCAGACACTCAACGACCACCCCTCCTTGATGATCAGAGTCTTCGTAGAGAGCAAGGGGATCGATGCTGCTGCGAACCTGATCCTCAAGGAGTGTGCGCTTACATGGGACGGGCTTCAGTCCTTGCTTCCGGAAGACATCCGCAACAGCTTTCTTTGCGCATCCAGCACGTTACTGCGCCAGGCATTCCGAACATTTGGGGTGGTAAAGGGATGGAGGGGTACTCAAGGTACTCCCTCTGAATTTAGTTGGGGATGATCCCAACAAACCTTCTAGTGTCTTTCGTCTCGACGGAATTTCCTTGAGTGGAACCCTTTCCCCCATTGCGGGCCGCTTGGGGGGAGGAGAAGGTCCTTGAGCATGTCACTCAACTCAAACCAGCTCCATGTGACAACTTAGGTGGGTCATGACAGAGGGGGTTTGCTGAGACATATTCCCTTTTGTACGCCTGTTCATGGACCACCACAAGAAGCTTCTAGGGGGGATGACATGTGCTACAGAATGTACCGTGATGGCTGTGATTTTATGCATGGGTGGTTCCAATCATGGTTCCACATAGCTATGTTTTTGCGACCAGATGAAGGGCAGCACAGACTGATGCACATGCCGTTCCGCGCGTGTGTGTGTGTGTGTTCCATATTGCGACTGTGACAACGAATGCTGCCTTCAGACTTGTCTCGGCTGAGCGCCGACCATGTGTGCGGGTGTATGTTGAAATAGAAGGCCTGGATGCAAGGGTGTTGCAACTTCTTCGGCAAACATGAAGTGTCTGCTCTTGTTTTCTGCCACATCCCATTGTGGTTGTGCCTCCAACAACGTTGCCTCTCATGGAGAGACCTCCTAGCAACCACCCTGCCCACTACCACGAGAAGCTTCGTGTCGACGTGCGTTGTGTGCTGGTTCCCATCCAGTGTGCTATAGGTGTCGATGGTTGGAGAGACTTCAATCTAAGGGTGGAAGTACATACCCCTTGTTCATACCCCTTGGCTTCAGTGATGTCCAACCCACTTTATAAGGGGTATATAACGGTATATACCCCTTTTGGGGAGAGGAATTGGTATGAACATCAGCCTCTCAGGGTTCATTTGTAGGGGTATGAAGGGGTACAAGCACCCCTGGATTCCAGTGACACGCCGCGACTAGGCAGACGGCGCCGCTCTGCAGGGCTTCCAATCATCGCCCCTGGCCCGGGCTATGGCAGCGGCAGTGCTGGAGCACAAGATGGAGCCCAAACTCATGAAGGCCGGGCCAGCACCGCGGTAGGTGAGCCACTGGCTGAAAAAAAAAGATTCGGGGATTGATGGTTGCTGTAGGTTAGTCGGGACAATCCCCTTGCCATAAACAGCTGCGGATCTCCGCCTTCTTAATTCTTTCCATGGTTCTGGGTAGGCCGGGCCTAAGAGCGCAGATCATGTGGATGGTGGCGAAATCCAGTTCGCACCGACCGGAATCCCCTGGAATGAGTCGATTCCCCGGGAAATACCAACAAACAATGGGAACAAACCATGATTTCAAAGTGGTGTGAAATGGATTTGGTCCATCCACAGTAGGTGTCCTTTTTGGTTGACTTGGTTCGAAAAAATAGAGGGCGATTCCTGGTTTACCTGGTGGTTCAATCAACTACCAGGGCCATCTATTCTCCCAAAAAGGACACCTGTGGGGCAGATTGGAATGCATCCACAAGTCGCCTTTCCGTAAACACATCCGCGGCATTTTCAGCAGGCCGGCAAGCAGGCCATGCGTTGAGGGGCAAAGGCAGTCTCGCCACTTTCCTGTTGGCATGTCCTGGGCAAGTTCAAGGCCTTCCCCCTGCGGCCCTTGCCGTGCTGAAAGAAAAGAATATTGTGTTAGAGATGTCGTCCGCAATGAAGCCAAGAACAGACCCTGGTATCCACGCGTGGACATTGTTGTGTCAGAGAGTTCCTTGCAAATGAAGCGTGAGAGGGACCTGAGTTGGTGCCCAGGAAGTGACGGTGGCGCTGGGCGCGGTCTTCAGCGGAGTTCCACAGCGACACTTCACCGAGAGCGGGCTGTGTGCCGCCTTCTCGGGCGCCTTGGCGGAGGGCTCTCTGGAGTTGCTGTGCGCCGTGCCCATGCCGCTCGGAAAAACGCCACCAAGTCGGGTTGCTGGCGCGATAGGTTGGGAATGAGAAACGGAGTGAACCTGGGGATTCCCGAAGAAAGGACACCTTCTGAGCACCAGCAAGCATTTCGCAGGGTACGCAAAACCCAAAACTCCATCGCTTGAGAGGCTCTTCGACTTGCTCCAAGAGGATGTGGCTGTGAACGCCCATCTGCGGACCGCCGCCGCGCACGTGTTGCCCAGCCTCTGCCAGATGCTCCAGCGCTTGGACGCGCAGGCAACACCTCGCGCGCCGTCCATGGCATATCAGCCGCTGAAAGGCAACGCCCAGGATGCTTTGACTGTGGTGGAGAGCAGTATTCAATCTCTCCTCAGGTTTCTGGCTCGCACCGCAGCTTGCCTGAGATTGTGGCCGATTATGGCCAGCGTTATCGTCGAGGGTTCGTTGCTGCTAGAGCACAATCGGCCGGGTGCGCGCTTTTTATGCGCAATTGTGGGTCCATAATGGTCCATAGAGGTGTTTGCGCGTGCTTGTTGGTGGGTGCAGGTGAACGGGCTTGTACATGTGTGCGTGAAGGCGCGCGTGCGAATGGCCCGGGGAGAAAATGCACGAAAGCACTGAAAAGATGCGAGGGCTGCAAACCATCAGCCCAAAGTGAAGCCTTCGAAAGACTCAAAGGGGCCCCTGTCTGCATGCTCGGCTTGCGTTGTCGGGTTTGCTCGCTGTCATGTCTCAAACATCTCAGGCACGGTACCTCTCCAGCGCAGATGCCAGCAGCTGCTCCTACTACCTCCAGTCTTTCCTGTCGAAATCTCTGCAATCGGAGCAAGAGGAGCGTCAGAACATCGCGCAGCAGGCAGCGCGTTTGGTTGCACTCCCTGCCTTAGCCTTTGGGCTTCGCCTTTTTGGCCTAGGTGCAGCTGCTGGCGGGGGCAAAGGGGCTCACACGGCACTTGGAAGATGCAGACCTGTCAGCTGCCAAGGAGCCATTGCTGCAGGCCGGGTCGGGAGTTGTGCAATTCCGCACATGTGGGTGTGGGTCAAAATTACACCAGGAAATGGACCGCAGGTTGTAGTCCAAGCTTCCATTTACCAGGGTTCCATTTTGGGCACCTATTTTTGACCCACTGCCATGTTACAAACAAATCCCTAGAGGTCCCTGAATCACTTCCCAAGTTCTTGTTCGAATGGGGCCATGGGTCAAAATCCCGTACCCCCAGATCCCAATCCCCACTAAAATAGGTTCTAAAATGAATGGTGCACCTACCCCAAAATGGGATCCTATTGGTTTTGACCCACAGCCATGTCACCTCCGGTGGAGCCTGAGGTCGCAGCAGAAGCGGGAAGCCTGGCGGGAGCCGAAGCCTTGCTGCGCCACAGAGCCTTGCCAGAGATGAAGGCCAGAGATGCCGGATGCAGGGTTCCACTTTTTGACTACAGGGTAGAACCAAGGTCCATTACCCTCAAAAGGGGAACCCCTGAATTTTTAAATCTATCTTGAAATAGTCAAAAAGCGGAACCCTGGCCGCAGTGTGTTTCGACTTTTGCAATGCGCTTGCGCAGGATGTCTTTGGCTGCACGGCCTTGCACTCGGCGCTGGCAGACGTCCAGCTGCACTTGGCATTTTCCCAGTTGACTCGGGTCGCTAAGATCTGCTTTCTTGCGAGTGGAATGTTTGAGCGTTCCTTCTCTGCAGGAATCGGATGTGGACATCCTGCGGCTCCTGCACTCGGCCCAAGCTGCGGCGCCCCCCGAAGCCTCCTGCGACGCAGGGCACTCGCTGAAGAGCTTTGCGGCCGCCGGCGCCTCGTGCCCCGTTTGCCAAGTTCGGCTGGGCCTCTGGCGGGGCAAAAGCGGCTCCGCGCATTTCATCCTGCGCTGCCAGCGCGGGCAGCTCGTGGCCTTCGTGCAGGGGGTGGAGAGCTGGAGCCTCCCGTGCACCGTGGCCGTGGGGACCTCAGCAGTCAAAATGAAGCCAGGATATATACACTGCACATAGTCTCTATTTCTATAGGGTTCCATTTTGGGTACCTATGTTTGACCCAATGCCTCAGCCGGACCTCAGCAGGCGTTGTGCGCTGATGTGTTTTTGGCGTGGCGTACGTGCCGTGGTTGCCGAGGTGGGTGAGGTGCGCCCGGTGCGCTGGCAGTCTCCGGAAGCTCAGCAAGCCTGGGGCGCAGGTGCCAACGTGGAGGTGAAGGCCACAGATGAGTTGGTGGTGTGCGGAGAGCCGGTCTTCTTCTGCCATTGGGACGAGGATGGTTTGGTTGGTCAGATTATTTTCCAAGGACCTGACGTGTTCTTTGATGGGCAGGGAGACCGCACACGAGTCGGTGGCCACGATTATGTGAACATCTTCAGCCCCAGTGCATTCACAGATGGTCTGCACTATTACGAGTTTGACCTTAAGCGGATTGTGTGCAATGTCGAAGTTGGCGTGGCGGCGATAGATGGTCCAAGTCAAAGTCAGAGGTACAGATCTGGGTCTGCTGTAAGTTTTCCAACCTGGAAAGCCCGATTCAAGCCCCAATACCGCGTCTACGACATCCAGAGTGGCAGAACCACGCACGCACAACTGAAAGCAGCTCCAGAGAACTGCACAGTTGCTTTGGTGCAACCGGGGCTTGGATGCTAGGACTTTAACTTGTTTCCAACTATGGGTTTTCCATTAAACCACTAGAAGCTAAACCTTTAGCAGGGGAGCAGAAAGCAACCGAGGTTGGTCTGCTGGTGGACATGAGCAAGGCAGCCATGGTATGGCTGATGGACGGAGAGGTCATTGGGGAGCCGATCCTGAACATGCCGGCGACCCTTTGCCTTTTCGCCTCCCTGGACACAGAAGGCGACCACATTGCCGTGAGGCACCTTGGAATTCCAAAAAACTATCTCAACTGCAATCATTCCTAACTATAATCTCAACTCCAGAATTCACAATGTCGGAGAGGTGGTTCCAATCGTGTTTGTTTTTTTTCCCTCTTTGCTCGAAACTCGGGCAGCTTCTGTTTCTTTGCCCTAGGCAGCCGACTCCTCCCAGTGCAGCCATGAAGCGCTTGGAGCCGTTGCCCATGACACAGGGCGTACGAGACTGGCTTTGTGGTGACTGCCTCACGAGGCGCCGAGTTCGACTTGACTGAGCATGTCCAAATGTCTCGATCGAACGCCGAGTTTGGGGAGTCATGGCATGACATGCGAGTTGCAGTTCTCAGGTACAAGAAGCAGGATGAGGTGCAGCGCTGGAAATGCCGCAGTTGTGGTGTGGACCTCTGTGAAAGCTGCCGCTTGGGTATGGGCAGGTTGCCGGACGGTAGCTCCAGTTTGGCCCTGGCTGCGTGGCTGGAGCCAGGGGTCCTGGATGAAGAAAGCTCTCCAGGATTCCAGCTGCTGCTGGAGCGGCGATGCTGGAGTCGTGGCCAACTGGTGGAGAGCATGGTGATGGCCACTTTGGGGAACCACGGCCGGCGTGTGCTGCACCTCCTCTTTGAGCTGAAGCGCCGGGATCTAAGCGATCTGTCCTTTGACGGCCGCTTCGCCATGCGCGAGGCCCTTGGTGCCTGCAAGTCTCAGGAGGGCAAGTCTGAGGCCGTGCTCCAGAGGATCGCCGAGATGGCGCTGCTCGTCGGCCTATATACAGCCCAGCCGCTCGCCGTGGATGCCATCCTTGTCTTCCAGAAGAAGAGTAGCACGAACGCACCAGTCGCATCACCACTCAAAGATTCCACAGAGGACCAAGCTCAATCCCCACAGAACAGCGACGAGGAGGTGGATTCCGACATGTTCGAGTCTGAGTGTGAGGAGTCTGGTGACGAACAGGAAATGCCCAAGGAGCCATGGTTTCGCTGTGCTCAACTACCTCCACTGATTGGCGCCCTAAGTAGCTACTGCGCAACAGGCAAAGAGCTGCAACGACACGTGCATGATGTTTACCCTGCCCCGAACCTCAAGGAACGTACATGCGCTTGTGGCGCCCGAGCTGACATGGCGTGCGCCACCTGCAACTTCGGGCAATGCAGGCAGTGCTTCTACTTGGCCGAGCGCCCATTGACCCTGCAGCATCAGGACTGCTGTGCTACGATTTCCAAGCTGCTCTCGGAGGATCCCAGCAGCATCAATCAGAAGCTCCCGCGCAATCGCAAGTTCAGCCCCCAGCCGGGAGACTTTATGATCAGCGAGTCCATGGAATGCTTGCTCTACACCCAAGTCTTTGTGCTGGAGCGGGCTGGAGCACCATTGAAGCCCATCCCTTGTCGAGACAAGGATGACCTGGGAGAGGAGCCCGGCCTCGCATCCAGCGATGAGGAAAGTGAGGTGGAGGAGGACCCCGTTCGCCTGAAACCCAGCGGCATGTGGGATGATGATGATTCGGAGGAGGAGACTGCAGAGGACTTGGACCAAGAGTTGTTGGACACAGCACAGTTCGGCCACAATCCAGACATGTCCGCCCAACCGCTGCTGCAGTTTCAACGGAAATCCACGGCCTTTCACCTGGCAGCTGCCTCCGCCTCCCCGAGCTTTCTGCAGCTACTCTTAGAGCATCGTGAGGAAACTCAAGAGCACGAAGTCGTGTTTGACCAACCCAACCAGGCACGGGGCCTTCTGATAGCTAAAAAATGATCGGTATGTCTGAAGCACTTTTCCTTATGTTGCTCAAAAGGGATGCAAGCTTCTAGCCTGGGTAAAGGACGAGTGACGAGTGACAAGATGGAGTATAGAGAGAGAGAGAGAGATGCGGGTGATCGGTTGCAGTTCCCAGGACCACTCAATAGAGCCAATGAACAAGGCGATCAAGGAGTGGGTGAGGTCAGGCGTGCTCAACGGCTCCGACATCGGGAATTGCGTTTTTGCCTTCGACGCTCAGCATCACTTCCAATGGCTGAATTTTCTCGATGAGCTCACAGATGAGCAGTACCCCGTGCGCTTGGTGTGCGCTCCGAATTCTTTGTCATTTCGCTCCGCATCGGGGGACACTGCGCTTCATGTGGCAGCATGTGCCAACCAAACTGCGCAGCTGAAGTTGCTCTTAGAGCACAAGGCTGATCCCAGAGTTCGAAACGACCGCGGTTCCCTCAGTTGCCTGAGTGTTTTGTGCTGCTTGGGAGCTAAGTTGAGCTTCCAGTGTGGATCTGAGGTGGAGTCACCCCTCTCATGTATGCGCTCAAGGTTTGCGGAGCCTTGGTTGATGTTGTGTTGCTAGTTGCGTTGATGAGCCCTCGACTTGGGCTGCCGGACGGTTTGTTCCAAAGCCTGCGTCACCAAGTTCCGGTTGCGCAGTTCGCCCCACGCAGGCCTCTGGCTTGGTTTCCATTTGGGCCCATTTTCCATTGATCAGTTCGTTGGCACCAAAACACCATGTGCCACGTGCAAAGCGATCTTTGCGATATTTGGGACATAAGGAGAGGAAGCAGCGCTGATGCTGATTTCTGCCACTGCCAAGTTCAGCCCTCAAGCACTTGACGTCATTGACGCTTGTAGCATTTTTTGGCAGATGATAAATGTCGCTCTTGGCCTCTAAGCTAGCTTGAGGCTGAGCGTTTTTGGCCGTGTTTGGCACATACTTGACGCAAATGCGTTGAATCTTGAGCACACAAGGACAGCACGGGAACTGCAGCCATCCACTTTGCGGTGTGCTTTGTCTGCACATCTTTTCCGGACACGAGTTTGCGTCTGGGGGTGTGGCCTCGCGACGCGCAAGCCCGGGCTGAGGTACTGTGGCCCCATCGCCTTGCCAATGGTGAAGCGGCTCCTGGAGGAACGAGCATCAGCTACGGCCACAACCGACCGGCAGCGAAACCCCTTGATGTGGCAGCCTCAGATTGAGCCTGCATATGTTGGATCATGGATCTACGTGTTGGAGAATCAACCATTAATTGAGTCATCTTTGGATCAGCAACTGTATCAATTGCCACCAGCCAAGGTTGGCAGTTCTTGCTGGCCAGCTCCAGGTCGCCGAGCATTTGCTCATGCAGTATGCAGCATGGTCTGATGCAGTTTCCAAGAGCATCAACGACAAGGCGAGCATGTGGGTGTTTCTCAAAATCGACCCCTAAAATGGTTGGTGTCCTTTTGGTGCGCTAAAATGGTTGTTGTCTTTTTGGTCCCCCAGAACTGTTGGGGTCCTTTTGGTTGTCCTTTAAACACCGACTAACAGGGGGTCCACCATTGTGAGAAAAAGGAAAACATGTCCTTTCAGCTCATGATGGTCTGTCTTTTGCCCAGTTGTGTAGCATATGTTGCCCTTCTGCATGTGCGCAGGACGAAGGGGGGTACACGGCGCTGCAGATGGCTTTGGTCCTGGGCCGGCCGAACTTCGCCCGGGTCCTGATCCAGGCCCGATGCAGCCTGGACACGGCCGACAGCCACGGGCGTCTGCCGGTGGAGCTGGCGCGTTCTGAGGGCACCTTGGCGCTGCTGTGCGCGGACGCCCGCCGGGTGCCGCTGGCCTCTCCCAACGGCACCTCGGTGCTGCACCAGGTGCTGCGGCGGAAGGGCGGGCAGGCCATGGCGGATCTGCTGCTGCAGCAGGTGACGCTGCAGCGCCTCGTGGACGCCGCCAAGGACTCCAGGGACAAACACGAGATCGAGTTCCTGCTGCACCACACCGCCCAGGCGACCAAGACCTCCAGCGCCACGGAACGTGAGGAGCGCTTCAAGCAGATCGTGGCCTCTGCCGACCAGGACGCGCTCTCCAAGGTTCTGGTGGAAATAACGAAGAGAGAAGTGATCTCCATTGCTGTGGTCAAGTTTGTGGTGGGGGCTGGCGCCCGAGCGCAAGATGCCATCGTGCCCGCCATTGAACGTAGACGCGTGGCCATTCTCAGCGAGCTTTTGAAGCAAGGCCCGGAGTTGCTGCGGCAAATCTCTTCTGAGGTTCGAGCCGCCATCCAGGGGCTCGAAGCAACGGAGCCCAACAAGGACGTGTTCATCACCGTTGGCAAGGCATTGCACCGGAGTGAGGCGGAATGGACGCAAGCAGCAAGCGGCGTGAAGACTGCGCACCCCACGCAACACCCGCAAGGCTACCGTCAGTTGGCCTTGCGGCTAATTGATCAGGAAGCGGGTGATGCCAAAGATGCCAAAGATGCGAAAGATGCGAAGGATGCCCGATTGAAACCCCCCACGTAGCGTCAAAGTTGCGCGCTGCCTAAGGCACACCGGCACAAGACCTTGACCAGTGCCTAAGTTTGGCTGGCAAAAGCGGAAGAATGGCTAGCGGCTTGCAGTTTCGCCCGTGCCCATGTCTTGTTGGGGGAAAATTTGTTAATGTTGAAACGCATGTGGAAACATGAACTGTGTTTGAAATGCTTGACCATAATGGCGCATGCCATTTTGGCTCAAGCTTTGCCCTGGGTTCTTTGAACCCAATTTGTGTGAAAAAGATTTGAGTTTGAACACCCTCGAACTAACCCCGATCAAGCAATGGCTTCCTCGGCAACCTCGGCAACCTCCTTCGAGCTGATTGAGGACCAGACGCTCACCGCGGAGGAGGTGGAAATGGCCAGCCAGGAGGCCCAGGAAATTCGCACACGCGAGGCGGCAGTGGCGGCCGGCCTGGTGTTGGACGAGCCCGAGGCCCCCCCGTCGGCTTCGGCTACCGACGTGATGAATGACCTCTCCAGTGCACTGGAGCGTCTCCGTGTGGCGTTTGCCACACCGACTTCCGGCTTGGGTGCCCCTGGCCCCGCCGAGGAGGAGGACAAGGACATGGAAGATGCGGACGTCACGGAGCGGGCTACTCCACTGGAGGAGGCACAGACACCACCCACGAAGAGGCTGAAGGGTTTCGTGGCGGCTTCCCAGAAGACCACGGCTCATGTGAACAAACCGGTCTCCCTGGTGCCGGTGGAGAGGGCCGACCCGGCTACTTCAAGCTAGTGGACCTCCCAGACCTTTTCCCGGTCCTTCCGGCATCGGCGGCCACGTTGCTGAGGGACGTCACGGTGGAGGAGGCGGTCTCCCTGTTCCACAAGTTTGTCGGGAAGAATCTCACGGAGGACCTGGTGATTCGTATCCTGGAGGCCTATGTCCCGATGAAGATCCAGATCCGGCAGGAGGAGGTCTGGGCCTCACAGTTCCAGAGGAACAAGGCGTGCATTGGCACCCAGCGGATGCACAGACTCGATGCAGGCCACTCAGATTACAAGTTCATGTGCAAGGCATGCGGCACGGGATCGCCAGATGCAGCCAAGCAGTGCTGGGTCTGCCCAGGCAAGGAGTTCGTCCCCTTCCAGGCACTCGGCTACCTATGAGGCGGACGGCATCACCTACAACCTGCTCATTGTGGAGGCAAGCCGACCTGGATCCAGCAGCGAAAAGAGGGAAGCCTGGGTGCCGCTGGCCCCGGTGGTAGACCGCAACCTGGTGGACGGCACGGTCCTGGGGAGAGCTCCTCCGAAAACGGACACGGCAGCCATGGCAGACGTGGTCCCGCTCAACAGGCGGGTGGACATCCGGCAGGAGATCCTGTCCGTTGAAGGTCCGGGAATGCCAGGAGATCAAGGTCAAAGTGCAGCGGTCCCTGAAGGAGGCGGAGGTTCAGAGCTTCCAGCTCTACCACCCCCAGGTGGACCAGGCGATCCGGAAGAAGGAGGAGCTCAGAGGAGGTGGCCAATGAGGGAGCCCGTGCCCTCAGAAAGGTCAACCTGGAGCAATTCAAGGCCAAGCTGCGAGACCAGTACCTGGAGGGGAAGGGCGTTGACGCCAGCCAGGCTCTGGCTGAGGCGATGGGCTCCATTCAGGAGGCTCAGGAGGCGAACAAGCGCACCCAGGACACCAACCAGGCATGGATGCTTAACCACTCTCAACTTGGAAGTGTCGGCGTGGCCGGATGATCTCAGGCAGGCCGTGGAGAGGGGGCTATTCTGCCCCCTGGAGCTGGATGACCCCGAGGACATCCCCAACGTGGGAGACATCAAGGAGAAGTATGTCCCCTACATCAGGAGGCTGAGAGAGTCGCAGAACCCATGGCACCAGGAGGCGCTGCTGGAGGAGATGCCCGATCTGGCGGCACCGGCCCCCCCAAGGGTGCCACTGGCCCAGCCAATGGCACAGCAGGACCTGGACTCGGAGGAGGGCAAGCTGTCCCTGCTCCTCTGGGCGATGAAGAGGCACCAGGGGGAGCTACGGATGTTTGGGGGGATCTGGAAGAAGGGTGAGATCCCCAAGGGCGCTGACCAGCAGTTCAAGCTCACGCCGGAGGAGCTCCTGGCCCTGGAGCGCAGGACTCACCCACTCACGTGCGAGCAGGACCACATCGACCCGGGGCGAGCGCCCGGCGCCGGAGCAGGTGGTGGGGATCTTCTGGGCAAAAGGTGATGGGGTGTTTTGGACCAGGCAGACGAGAACGTGGGACCTGCCGAGCCTGACGGGGGTGTACGCCCACAGGTTCACTTTCAAGTACATCTACTCGGCCTGGACCACTTTCCCGCTGATCGTGAAGACGCAGCGCCGGGGCCGCAATGCGGAGGGCTCAACCTCGGACAAGTGGATGGGCAACATCCTCCAGATGAGGAAGGAGGCGGTGCCCTTCCTGGAGAGCCTGGGCATCCCCAAGCCGCGCAGCAAGGCGGAATGGAGCTACATCTTCAAGGAGATGGGGACGTTGCTGGCGGCCAAGAATTTCATCGTCAACTGCCCGTTGCCGGTGATGGAGATCCCAGTGGCCCCCGTCCACGACAGCAAGGAGGCGCTGCGTTTCAGGGCGGTCTGCGACGAGCGGATCGCCCTCCCGCTGTCATCGCTGAGGGCTTTCGACTCGGTCTACACCAAGTTGGTGTCGGGCCTGAGCAAGTCCTCCATGGTGGAGGTGAAGGTCAGGCGCTGCAACGTGGTCCACGACTGGTCCCGCAAAAGGCGGCGGGGGCCTTGTACGACAGGTTGGGCTACTCCCAGGACCTCATCCGGCAGCTGGGTTGCTCCCCCCCTTTGGGTGCCTCTGGGTCTGGGGGAGGAGCGGCCAACAAAGGGACCCCAAGGCCAAGGTTCTGGGGGGGGCAGACACCACGCTCCGCACACCGGACCAGGGCACCAGGCGATACCCGCCCATCACCACGGCCACGGTCACGGCGGTCGCGGGCCGGAAGTACATCAACAAGCACTTCCCCAAGGAGACGAAGCATGTGTTTTGGGCCTCCGTGGAGTGTGGCTTGGTCTTGCCCAGCATCAGCGCCTGGGAAGTGGTAGTTCAAGACCATGGGGGGCTACATGTGCAGGTTTTGCAAGGGCTTCTGGAGGGCGAGCCGCGGGGGGACCAGGCACAAAGACAAGGCCACATGCTTGCAGCTGGTGATGGACGAGCCCCCGGAGCAGCTGTGGATCCGTGACAGGATGGAGTTCTACAAGAGGGTGGAGCCGACGGAGCCTCCCAGGGACGAGCGGCTAGTCCTGGGCGACGCGAGCACCCCGCGCATGCGCTTCAGCTCTTCGAATGGCCTGGGGGACTCCACTGCCTTGTGGTCGGTCATTTTGAGCAACCCGGAGAAGTCAGGGCTGGCGGCCATCCACTCGGTGGCAAAGGAGGCGATCTTGAAGGGTGAGAGCCGCTAGGTCGTGTCTCACAACCCTTTTGGATGTGGAGTCGTGTGATCTCTTCCCGCCGGGACTTGGGTGCCTTTGGCCCCGTCTCGGGCGGGGGGAGGAGTAAGGGTGTCTCCTTTTGGGTTCATCTTTCACCATGGTTTCCCCCCTGTTCAACACGTCACGACAGCCGGTTTGCCTCGATCTGGAGGCTGCATGCATTGGCTGCCCCAAGGACGGGCCATATCTGGAGAAAGTGGCTGCGGCTGACTCTTGGTTCCCTGAGGTCCCCTTGGGGGTTTTGGGGAATCCCCCGTCGGGTTGGTCTTCCCCCCTCCGTGTTTTTTGGGGATTTCCGGGGGTTGACTTTTGGTCCTGTTGGGGCTGCGTGTGGCCTGCCTGCTCCTTTTGCACTCGGCATCCTGCGCAGTTGGAACATGCATGCAGTTTGCCGCGGTTGGTCCCGGCCGTTCGATAGGAGGCTCGAACCCCCCCTTTTCATCATGGCTAGGGTTTCTACCAAGTTTCTTTTGCGCCCGCCCTACACACGTCTTTGGGACCGCATTCCAAGGGTCCTGTGGGACACATTGGCGGATGAGTCCTTCTCCCCGAGACAGACGGACGGGGAGCTGTTGGTCCTGATGTGCCTGCGCCATGGCACGGCGGAGGAGGGGAGGAAGCTGGGCGGGGAGCCGGCGTCCGCTTCGCCCAGCTCCTGGAACTCTCGGGCATTCCGGTAGGGCAAGACGACCAAGTGGTACCGACGGACTACTTCAACGGCCTGGTGGCGTCGGCGGCGGGCAGGCTTCCCCAGCCTCTGTCCGCGGCGGACCTGGCCGACCTATGGGACAGCCTATGGTTCCTCCTCATGGCGACTGCGGATGGCAAGCCGAGCGAGAACTTTTCCCCGCTGGAGAATGAATGGGACCGTCAGGGCCAACTCAGGTGGTTCTCACGAGATGACCCACCCCCACTCCAACAGCCGGAGCTTCTAGAAGTGGAGGCACTGGCGGCCCGGAAAAATCAGGGAAATGGAGCCCACGACCCAGCGAGCGCTGGAACTCCATATGCGCGGGAAATGGGCGAAACGGCTCCTTGCCCACTTCGCCCCTTTTGCGGAGCACATCGCATACATGCAGGACATCCTGGGGGAGGACTTCCGCAAGGAGGCATTGGACCTCTTGGGGGACAGTAGGTTCCGAACACTCAGGCAACATTGCCTGGTCTACGAGAGTCTCCGGAAGAGGGGCTTCACAGTGATTCCATGGCAGGAACGACACGTCCGCTCTCTCCTTAACCAGCTCGCCGAGGAGGAGGTCACCCCGTGCAAGTTACGGCAGGTATGGAACACCCTCAAGTGGTTTTCCAAGACCTTCGGGCTGCTGAAGATAGACGAGCTCCATCGCCTCAAGTCCAAGAAGAGCTCTTTGGAAGAGGCGCTCACAGGCCACAGCGCAAGGCGGTGGTCCCCAGCAAAGAGGTCATATGGGCCCTGGAGGAGGGGGCCGGCTACGATCACCTGGGTGCCACCGGCCCCGGTACGCAGGCGGCCCCGGGGAGGAGCAGACACGAGGTGCTGGACGCTTTCATCCTGGGTTTCGCCCGGTTCCAGGTTGGGTGCAGCGCTCGTTTCAATGACCTCCAGCATGTTCACCCCAAGGACCTTATCCACACCAGC